ACTCCCCCCCCCCCCCTCCCCGCTATATTGCACTCTCCGTCGCGCAATTACAAATTCCCACAGTGTCAAGGGGGGCAGGGAGGGGGATGGGGATGGGATTTGGTGTATCCCCTAGTTTCTGTACGGACTCATATGAATACACAAGTTCCAATACAAACATGTACACATGCGAGTCCATGTGTGTGTGACTATTCGAGTTTGCTCGACTCGATTCGTATATGGATAGCACGTGATCCCCTACGATCCCGGGGACGACGGAACCTGCTGATGCGATACGCTCTTTCGGGAGATGTGTGTGTGTGTGTGTGTGTGTGTCTGTGTACATTGTACCGTGTACAGGATAGTTTTATTTGCCCTTAGGACAGGAGACGCTATGGGGGCCAATAAAATCGGTTTTAATTCAGTGACGGTGAACAAAGACAGGTGTCGACGAGGCAATTAAATCACTATTAGATTTTTAGTAGGTGTTGGAGGGGTCGGGGGCGGCGATGGCAATTGATCGAGGGGTTGTTTTTGATTAAGACGTCGTGAAGTTTTTTTTAAAATTTTTTGCCGCAGGAAATTGGTTCCACAAGGATTTATGATTATTTTGGGATATCCAAAATTGACCTTTTTTCATTTTGGAAATATTTGGGGTGGGGGAGGGACAGGGATGAATCTTGACTCATTGAAGAGAGCGGAAAATTTGCCATCGAATGAAAAAAAAAATAACCCGTTTAGCTCCAGTAGTTCCCGAGAAAATCCCAATTCAATTTTCATAGATCATTCATCGATCGCTAGATCATCTCTACACAATTCTAACAAAATGAGTTGCAGTTGATTTCATCGAACGGCCGGGAGAACCTCAGATCCACGTAAAAAGGACCGTTCATTTTACCCAAGTGTATCAAGAGAAAATCCTCAATGATTCCGTAGATCATTAAAGATCATCGATTGCTAGATCCCGTTTACTTTTTTCGCTGTAACTCCAGTTCTCTTCGAGCAAAACAGGTTATTTTTTTTTTAATCTCACGATAAATTTCCCGATCTTTTCGAAAAAACCATTTTCATCAAAATTCCTCTAGCCATCCCTAGGGACTCCCAAAAATCCCTAGAATGAAAAAATCTAATTTCCCCAAAATCGAAAAATTTCGGAAATTGAGTCTTTTTCAGCGAAAAAATCATCGAAAAAATTCTTGTACGCAAAATTTGTGAACCCCTCCCCTCCCCCAGCCCGCCAAATTTGAAAATAATGAAATATCAATGGTTACGTGTCCTCACCGAAGCACGACATAGTCCTGTAAATAATATATTGTCTATTGAACCGCGAGCTTGACTCGCGTTCAAAACAGTGATGTCTACCTCACTGCTATCTGGGTCAAGCACGTGACCCCAGCCCCGACAATCCCTCCGCCCTCCCCTCTCCCCCTTTTCATCAATTCCCTTCAACTCCTCAAATTAGAACTCTCTCTCATCTCCACTCTAAATAATTCAATGTCACCCCTTGTTTTCCCCTGATTTACACTCTTCAATTATTGGAACAGAAATTCATCCAATTTTTTTTTTTCACTCGAACACTTGAGACGATGAAGTTTGGGGTTGGGAATTCAGGTTGTCGAGGGTTCCCACCCCGTTTTTCATACCTGGAATTTAACACAAGGAGTTTGTGTTAAAATACTGGATGGTTTCAGAGGAGGGAGGGGGAGAAAATGTCCTACCGTAGGTAGTCTAACGGGTATTTTGTACGAAGGGTCGGGGCGAGTGGGGGTGGAGACGTGTCATTTCATCGATTCATGAATTCTAATGAAGTTCAATCCAATTAAAGTCGATTTCTCCAGTTTTTCAAAGATACGAAAAAATCCGATTTTTTTTAAATCCGAAAAAGTCGGTTATCTCGAAAACCGGAAATGGCAGGGGGATGAAAATCATGTCGTTAAAAAACTGGGGAAAATTTCCGATGATTAAAAAAAAAATAAACCCGTTTTGCCCCCGTGGGTGAATGAATAATTGAAAGAGAAGATTTCAGGGCTCGAATACGGTTTTGGGCTTATCACCGGAACCGAAAGCCGTGGAGGGTTTTTTTTTCCAGAAATTGATCAGAAATTTTCCCAGCTTTCCAACGAGCCTTGACTCGTGGACATACGCCCATTGGTTCTCGAGATATTGGGAAAAACGTGAGACATCGAAAAATCGATGATCTTTCAATCACGAAATTTCTCCATGATTTATTTCTGGTGAATGATTACCTCGCTGACACGCATTCGCCCGCTCATGGTGAACTCCTTGACGTATTAATTAAGCGTATCCCTAACGACTGTGGGGTTCACCTTATTGGCCGGGCTTGCGGCCCTCCCCCTCCACTCAAAAAGTCCTAGCTTCGTGATTCTGGGAATAGAACTTGAAAAAAAAATTGAATTTCGCGACTTTGGCCGCATGATCATTTTTATTCATCATCTCTAGGCATAACAATCATTTTTTTATGAAGAAAAAAATTAATTCACATTTTTAATTCAATTTTTTTCATTTTTTTGAGGTTAATTAACGGTTTTTTCACATCATAACCTAAAACAAATTTTTTTTGCCCCTCACGGACACGAAAACTATTTTTCATCGCGACATAAACATTCAATATTTTATATTAGACTTAATTTTATTTATTTTTGGACATCAACTTCCGGTTTTTGACATTCTAACCTCAAAAAATGATTTGTCAACAGAGAAAATGGCCTCCGGAGTCAAAATGGATGTTTTAATAATGAAAAAATGGAGATGTATTTTTTTAGATTTTTCAATAGATATTTATGACCAATTTAGAGGCTACTCCGATGCCGAATTGAATCCATAAATAGTAATTCGATCTTTCGTGAGAAAAATAACACGACAATTTCCATTCTTTTTTTTTTCAAGGTTGGGTCGCGTTGTCTAGGGGTCGATCGAACAGATACTCAGGTCTCATACATGACTGACGTGTGTCAGAGGAATTGTCAAGGGGGTCAAAAAATTGTAACACATCTCTCCCTCCTTCGAAATGCACCGGTAATCTCTCTAATGCTCTTCCTCTCTCTCTCTCTCTCTCTTGTCATTCTCCGTGTTTTTTTTCTTCATTTCGCACGGGTATAATGGGAGAGACAACAATGTCGTGAAATTAGCGAGAGAACGGAGGAATGAGTGGATGGGAATTGGAAGGGATTCCCATGAATTTTATCTTGTTATTGTTGGTTTATTGAATTATATTATAGAAATGTTATTGGATAATTCTTATTATTTTATCATAATCTTCACGACTCATGTAGAAAGTATATGTGCTATTGAAAAGATGATTATTGGGTACTGCAGACCAGTTTTTCTTCAAAGGAACAGTGCGAAAATATGAGGATTCGCTACTTAAATTACGAGAAAAAACCCTAGATTGATGGGAGGATTGATTCACTCGGGGATCGATTGAAATTTAGATGAAAAATTTTTCGCCCTTAATATTGCTCGAGAATACGTGAAAAAGTACTAGATGATTCTAGAGACTGTGAGTTTTTCAAAAAATCCCTAGACACAATTTTAATTGAAAAAATCCCTAGGGCCAAATTGGGACAGAAATAAAGGGATTCCCCCAGAAATCCCGTAATTTTCACGAAAATCTATCGACACCTGTGAAATACAAAATATCCCTAGTCAAATCATAAAAAACCCCTAGATCCACTAAACTCCTAGATTTCA